ACTGCATTACTCCTCTAATCAATAGCCTCTCCACAGGGACTTATTGACAGTACTAGTGACAGATAATTGTAACATTTTAGAGCAGCGGTATAGAATCCTGGTTTCAGGCAGGAATAGAGTATTTCAGTTTTCAGTCCATCTGAATGATTTCATATTAATCTTTTCCTTAATTAGATTAGAGTTAACATGCATTCCAGATGCCCCCTCAATGGCCTTCTGAGGTTAGCTATACAACTAACAGGACTGGCTCTCCAGGACCAGGGATAAAGGCCTCTGTTTTACACAAAGATATACAAAGGAAGCTCTGCTAATACAAGAGCTGTAGAGGTGAGGTGAGCTGACTTGCAGTTGACAATTGTGAGAGTAAAAAACAAAAAAAAAATTGGTGGTTATGAAACTTTCACTCTCATTCACTTTCTTTCAAACACAATTTGGATTTGTGTGTTGTCACTGTCACTGCTCTTGACACATGCCTCAGAAATGGGAGGAAATTAAGAAACACTACAGCTATGGAGAAGCAGGCAAAAGAAACATTCTGGAAAACACAGGAAGAAAACACTGGAACAAATCTTCACAAATTGTGAAGAAGGTATTTATAAATTAAAATAGATGAGGTATGAAATCCAACATTACTTTGTAAGTTATGTATTAGAACAAGGCAAGTGCTCTTTGAGAAAGGCATGTATCGGAATGCTAAAATAATTTATACTTGGAAAACTACTAGAATAATTTTTTTAATCATAGTGCAAAACTCTAAATATTTCATACAAACTAGCTGGTTCCCATCACCTGGGAACTGTACATTTTTCATACAACCAGACACCACTCTCTTAGGGTCAAAGAGTAGTCTTAAGTACATATCAGTGCCAATTGCACGTACCCACTATTCTAATAATATGTGAAACATACACACCCCTTACTTATGACAAAATGATTTGCTCTTTAATGGCCTCTGTTTTACTATGATGTGCTTTTTCTATAAAAAAATACAGAGCCTTGCAAAAATATTCACTTTCTTCCAGTGATGTCCCATTTTGTTAATTACAAATGGTGAATATGCAATGCTTACAGGGCTCCCTGATCCTTCTGAGATTCAATCCCGTCATTCATGGGAGCTGAAAACGTACAGCGCCACTCCCTAGACAGCAGATTATTCCTCAAAAAACAGAAAGAGTTATACACTTAGCTTTCAGAGGGGGTTGAAATCACTTCTGTAACTGGTCAGTGCATGGGCCCTGTGACAAAAACACATTTTTCAACTGAAACTGGTGGCGCACTGGGTAGCATTGTTGCCTCGCAGCGCTGGCTGGGTTCAATTCTGGACCTGGGGTGCTATAAGAAAGGAGTCTGCATGCTCTCCCTGTGCTTCTTTAGTGTGCTCCAGTTTTCTCCCACAGCTCAAAGGCATACTGGTAGTTTAATTGGCCTCTGTAAAACAACTGGCCCTAGTGTGAGTCTGTGTCTCAGACTGTGCGTGGGCCTGTCCTGGACTGGAATCCTGTGAAGGGTGTACCGTGCCTTGTGCCCTTGGCTCCCCTACAACCCTGAATTGGATGATGTGGTTAGAAGATGGACGGCTGTTTTTAATCAAAACCTAAATGCTCAAACTGTTCAAACCTTTGCAAGGCACTGTACGTTCATATCAGTCAATTATTTCCTGTTTAACACAATAACTTTAAAACATACAACTATTTTATGGTGTGGGCAAATAGACAGAGACCTGAAATAAGGATCTGAGAATCACGATGACTTGAGAAAATGGAGTTGAGCCATTGTTTCCATTCGTCAGTGTCCCTTGGGGAGAGTTATACCATCCACCTTTGTGTGCTGTCTAACACTTTACCCTGGCAACCAGAGGGAGGGTGATTTTGGAATCAGTATGTTTTCTGCCGCGGTGGGATGAAATTCTCTGTGCTCCTAGCCAGCAACAAAGCAAATGAGGAGTCTCACTGCAGGAATACTTACTTAATCGACCAGCCAGCAGCTCAACCACCTGTCACAAGACCCAAATTTAGCAGTGTGGGCATGCATAGCTATCAGTAGACGGTGCAGTTTTATCACGTTCTAGTTATCAGGAAGATAATGTTGTATGATCTTCAGGAGAATCAAATCTCATATGTGCATTTGTGGAAAAAAAAATATTTGGAGAAAGAAGCTGGATCCTTAAGTCTATGAGACGGAGTGGTGTTCCAAGCTGGTTAACTTTTTTTATGTTCTGGTGTATACTTCAGTAGTGGTGGAATAAAAGATGAGATGCCTGCCACCACTGTACATTAGAGTTTCTTCCAATTTCACACTGTGGCGTCATACATTTCCCCTTGGTTGGCTTCATGTATCTAAGATCTCCTCATCTTTGTTATTGAAAAATTGTGATTGAGAAACAAAGTTGTCTTTTCATTTGGATTTTAAAAAACAAAAACAACCTAATTGTGTACCAAAACCCCTCAATTCAATTTCACTCCTGTCTCAACTTTGAGGAGAAACAAGATCTGCATCATAAATTAACATTCGCACAGAAAATAAAAAACGTAAGAGATGTAGAAATGAAAGACATTTTTCCATTTCAATTAAACCTCGTAAGCCACTCATCGCTGATAAATCGATCTTTCAGTACTATACCGTGTTTGCTATAGTACAAATATCAATTAAAATAACTTATAGCAAAAGTATTACAGTTTATTAAGTTAACTCAAAAGACAGACAAGTGTGAATTTGTGATTATGTCATGTTATTTGTTGATTCTGTGAACATCCCTTCCCCTGCAGTGCAGAACAATGTACAGCTCAGAGACCAGTGTTCAGTCTATGTCTGTCTGGAGCTGAGGAGTCAGATGTCTCCAAGACACTGTCAAGCATTCTCAGCACATAGAATAGACAGCTGCTCTCTTCCCTGTGAGTGTGAAGACAAATAAAGGAGAGAGCGCTGAAAAAAATTATAAATATGAAATAATTCTCTGCTGACAGAAATGTCCAAAGTGCTGTACAAAGACAAGATCATATATTAATCATTAAAAATCAATTAAATGAAGATACATTTCAATACCCAGCACTTCTAGTTCTAGAAATTAAATAAAACTTTCTTCAGCACGCAGTAGAATTGAACCTCCACACACAGCTTGTAGTCAGGAGTCTGACATTGTTAATTAATCCCTGCCTTACTTAAGGAACAGGAGGCACAAGTCATTACGTGTTACCCAGGGGTGACTGTCTTAACAGACCGTATGATCTGCCATGGAAATTGTGCACAATGCTGAACAAGGGATCAATGTAGATTAGTCTGTAAAACATTACTGAAACTGTTTACTTAATAACAACTAAATGTTTGTCAGTAAATGCTACAATTTAATGATGAAGTTAATAAATGTGTCTAAAAATATACAGACAGCTGTCATGTAGTACTTATGTCTACATATTCAAAGATCTAAAAAAAATCTATTCTTTTAAGGTGGTATCTTTCCTGTTAATTGTTTTCCAATTTCTTTGTTATGATTATTCCCCCCAAATTCTCTTTTCTATTTATAATCTTGTTTTTCCCCTTAACTAAAATACAAAAAACATGTCTGAAAATCTCTGGAGCTGTGAAGTGGAAGCACTGCATTGCACAACGTTTTAAAAACCCATGAAGCACTTTTCAGTAAAGTACATTACAGCATTATGGTCACCTTTTGAAAACAGAAAACATTATTGTATGCATAGACATGTCATAAAAAAAAATGTATTAATCTTTCCCACCTACCAAGCACAAGTCTAAAATAATTAAACTGTCACATTTTTACATTTTGATTTTTTTTTACTTTAAAACACTATGTAAATATCATACACCATTCTAAAACATTTCAATTATATTATGATTTTATCAGAGAGCACTAAACGATGTTGCAGTTTATTTCTTTATTTGAGTAAATTAAATAATAATACTGTATATGTACTGTATATAAGGGTTGCCTAGTGGAAATGTTCCTGCGATAAACATTGGTGCTGTACCTTGAGCTTGTGCGTTACCCCGTTTGCTCCAGTCTTTCCAGCTGTGCGAATGGAAACTTCCATTGCTCTGCAGGGGACTGGCGTTCCCCTCCAGAAGGCGAGGAAGTCTTTCCTGGTTGTTTAATGTTGCGGAAAAAAGCTTTATCTCTGGCCACTAATGAGCCGTTGTGGAAATAACCTACGGAAAATAGAATGTAGAATTTGATCAAAGCTTATTTCTAGTTTCTCTTTGGCCATGGGTTTAATGAAATATTTTAAAAGTATTATGCATTTTATTGTTTTTATGATCATTAAAAAAGTTATGAAATCTTTGTGTTGTTGGACCATAAATTTGCATTTGTAAAGCAAAAAGTAATGCTACAACAAAACAAAAACTTTTTAGAATGTGAAATAATCTGACTTTAGGATATTTAGCTAAATAAATATATTTATAAATATATTTAGTTTTTTATGTAATTTATTTCTACTACTTTATATATGCGTAGTGAAGTTATTAGTAACCGTTTAAACGCTATGTCGATGTGAATACAGTATGTCACATTTTAATATTTTTTTTTACTTCAAAACACTACACTTTATATATCATAAACCATTTTAAAACATTTCAGTTGTATTATGATTTTATTAGAGTGCACTAAACGATGTTACAGTGGTACACGCTCTGAGGGTTCGAGACAAGCCAGCTTTCAGAAGGCAAATCTAAAAAATGAAGCACAGGCATGTTAGCACAATTAACATATCTTTCAAGTTCATAAATATATAAAGTATTACATTTTCATGTATTCTTACTTGACAGTAAAAATAAACTGGATAATGTAAACATGTCTAACTAAATTATAATTTAAAATAATATGTATTTCATTCTATAGTTATGTGATAACTACCCTACTTCAATTTTTTTTTAATAATGGGAGCAGGCTGAACTAAAGGTTAGAAACCACAACTTTCGGTTTGTATGACAGTGCGTCGGTGTTGTAGCCAATCACTAACTGGTTCCGGGTTACCAAGGGTCAAGCGTTACCATGGATACAGTAAATAAACAAGACAGAAGAAGTACCAGTAAGGTATGTTTGGAGGGATATCTAAATAATGTAATTTGTGTCAGGGTGCATAGAACAAGTTTCCTTCTTATTTGTGTTATGGGTATTGCAAACATGTTTTTGCAATATGTTTTTTCCGTTGTAAAATGTCATATTTACATACTTAGGAGACATTTCATCTCGTGTAAACCGACACCATCGAATTATATTATAGACACAATGTTAAGGGGCTGTGTTTTAGACACTATAGTGTGCTAAGTTTTGTGCTCTTCCTGAGGGTCACTGGGAAAATACAAAAATAACAATAATAATGTAGAATTGCTGAAAGTTATGGAGAAATAGGATAAAGGCATGGAGGAATAGTTTTGCCCCAGTGTTCTTATAATGTATAATTTAAGGTGTTTATCTATAGTGGATTTGGATTTTGGATTATTAGTCTGACATATAATTGTTTCTAATGCAGTCAATAAAAAACAGAATAAAAACACCACTTAAAGATGGGACAGAATGTTGCCTTTTTGACTACTCAAGACTGTTTGTTTAGGTGATCAATAAGATTCAACTGTGTCATCATCAACTCAACTTGCTGGTCTGCCATTCTACTCCATTGTTAATTCAGCCTGCTGTTTTCATCTTTTGAAGATGGCAGCTGAAGGGAGCTTTTAACAACATAAACAACACTATTGTCTTGAAGGGCATAAACTGTGTTGATCCTCATAGATATTTCAAATGGAGAGTGAAAACGTAATTAACGCAGGTTTGCAATTAACATGAGGCTGTCCTTTTCCTACAGGGATTTGATTTATGCTTAAAATCAATCAAACAGTATAGTGGAATTGATCAGTTAGGATCCTTCAGGATTTACTTAGAAAAATGTTCTTGGTACTTTACTTAGCTTTTAGCCAGTAAGCCTGTAAAGAGTTGTTTTTATGCTGTTTGGAGTTTTGATGCAGAGATGGTATTATGGAAAAATGAGTGTATCGCTTTCGTTTGTCTCCTCTTTCTTTTCAGAAGACAGGATTGTAAACATCTAGGGCATACAGGAAGATGCCGGATATCATGGACATCCAAAGCAAGGCAGCAGCCAGTCCTGGCACAAAGCCACGCATTTATCCGCCAGTGGCCAAACTCAATCCTGTTGCTGACCCACGGAAAATGAGAAGGATCATTGCGGAGGACCCAGAATGGTCTCTAGCTGTAGTTCCCCTTCTTAAAAACCTGTGCCTACAACATATCGTTAAAAACTTCCATAGTAGGTTCTTTTTGCCTTTATCACATTTTTATGATGATATTGTAGAGCATGTATGTGAGTGTGGCTTTCAAGTGAAAGCATGTGAAGCCAAGAGCCTTCTGGAATTAACATATCAGGTTTTTTAAAGTCTTATTAAACAATGGCAATATTCAGACTTCAGAAACAGTTTTTTAAGAATATATTTAGAGACTGGAAATCCAAAGAAAAAGGATGGAAAAAGGAAAAAGGTTTTAGATTTTGAAGTAGTTCAGGTGAGTAGCTGCGTCAGCATGCGTAGGCTGCAAAGGAACAAGTAATAGGTTTATTCCATGTGGAAGAAGGCTTGGACACCTGAAGAAGGCTCCACGGCCGAAATGTTGTGTTTTCTTTCTTCTTTTTTTCAGCATGGAATAAACCTATTACTTGTTCCTTTAGATTTTAAATGCATGCTTTACATGTGTTAACACATGTGTTAACCACTTGTTTGTTAACAGCAAAATCAAAGTGCAAAGACGTGTTAGAATGTGGAGTCTTCGGGGCACATTGTATTCTAGAGCTACAGTATGATAAAGTCCTGACTAGCTTTACTCCTGTTTTCTAAACAAATCTTGTATTCCCCAGATGACTTCTGGTCTGATTCTCATTTTACTCCCTAATTGAGAAGGATAAATTCAAATTACATGTCATTGCTTTTATAGATTGTATGACTAAAACAGAAAGAAAAAAATAGAAGCACTTAATCTAAATTTAACCAGTTGTAAAATGTTAAAGCTCTCAAAAACCTTTAATGATCAATTACTACCAAAATGTATAGGTGTGGCAGTAATGAGTTTTTAAATATGTCAGAAACCATTCACTTTTAGTTTTGAACACCAAAATAAAATTTCGTACATCTTTTTTCTGCATGATTTAACATGATAAAATATACATTGAGAATGAAGATCATGATGTGTTTGTGCCCCCAGTGAATCATACCATTTCATAAGACCTTTTAGCAGGTTTCTGTATGTCACAATTCATGACACATAATATTGAACTGGTGAGCCCCAAAGTAATTTCATTTCAGTTAGAACTTGACGCCATTTCTTCAATCAAGATTAAGTGTAAAGTCTGTTCTGCTCTGAAGCGTGCTCTTGAGTGAGGCTTAATGAAAGTCAGTGATGAAACTGTCTGATTAACCACAGAAAAGACATTTTAAATACAAGACACAGTGCGTGTTAGGAATACTAAAATTTATTAAGTTCCAGTATGAAAACCCTGTAGTGCTCTTGATCCAACACTGACACTGTGGGGATACAAATTACCTCCATTCTCTCATGGACACTTGTTATTTATTTGAAGGAGTAGTTTCTATTATGTATATTTCCTTTAAAGTACTGTGAAGCAATACTATGACTACATTGTTACCTTCCCAGCTGCAAAAAATCAACTCTTAAATCACACAAAACACATTAAATTGAATATTAAGGAAATAAAACAACATATTACATTAAACAGAGTATATTTTTTCAGAATTTAACATATTGGTCTATAGGCAAATACCTCAGACATTCCAGAGATCTGCCCTTTCTTTATCTCTTTAAAATAAATCTGTATTAATGGATGGTATTTGTTTAAGGATGGAACTTTGTATTTCATTACTGTTTGTAATTAATTAAACAATATATAGAATTAATAACTATTAGTATAAGAAATATCTGAATTTTATTTTTTAATTACTATCAATGTATGAATGTATTCAATGATAATTTATTTTGTATATTAACTCATTAACTCCGTGGATGGAGCTCTTGAATAATTGCCGTTAACATGCTATTTCATTTTCGATTGTTACCTATGAGAAACATTATTTCTTCTAAAAATGTTAAATTTTTTCTTCAAATGAATATATCAGACTACAGCAAAAAAAATATTACCATAAAAAGAAGTGACTGCTCATTCAGTGGGCAAATGCATTGAGTTTTTTTTTCTTCTTGAAAGCCTAACCTCTTACCACCCAGACTTAGCAAACACTGCTTATTTCTTTATTTCAATGAAATATCTTCTAAGATCATAAATATTTGATATACATTATGAATTTATAATATGCTCGGCTGGAATGTTGCCTTTCATCATGGGTGCATTTTTAAATAGAACTGATCATAAGCAAGTATGTCTGTAAACACATTTCCAGTCCCTAAATTGTGGTATATTTGCTAGAGTGTAGTGATGTTCTTTTATATATGAAATCACAACGGCACAGACATTGTGACTGCGTTGCCAGTAGATGTTTAAACTTTGAAGCCAGTGTTTTCTTTTTGATTAGAGAGTGCTCTGTTTTTTAAATCTGCTTAATCATAAGACAATGTCGTTATTTAGTTTTGGTTTAAAACATTGAATTTTAAAGTGGTAACGACATAGTAGATGCTAAAGCCTGATCAAAAGCAAGTTTTCTTACAGTTATAATACATTAAAGAATTGTTTTATGACAATTAAGCACCTCACGTTCAGTAATTGTCAGCTCAGATTAAAATTCATATTTTGTCAGTAATGTGAATTGTAAAGTGTCATAATAACAGTAAACATTTTTCTTCTTTCAGTACTTGATTTTTTGTGCCTTCTTATTTCATAGATAATCCAATTCTTGACAAACTTCTTCCCAGTCACAAAGCCCAAGTGCTGGAAAGGCTGTCCACCAGCCTGCCTTTACAAGTGACAGCCAACCTGATAAGCGATGAGGGGTATTGGTTGAGGTGTTGCACAGAACGCTGGGGCGTCAGTGACGTTTCTTGTTACGGACAGAGCTGGAAAAGGATGTTCTTTGAACGTCATTTGCAGAACATGATTGAGCTCTTTATCCCTGATGTGACAGACCCACAAATGATCCTGGATATGGTCCCCCTTTGCAGGAATTATGTGCGAAAGATAGAGATATCCCAGCTGTTACCACCTGTCCGGGAGCCACAAAATGAGGATGATGATGCCTCTGATACAGCCAGTGACACTGGTTTTGACGGTCCTTCCATGGATCATTTTGACTTCGGCATTCTCCTAGACAAGCTCAGTCATCTGGAAGAGCTGCATGTGGTGTATGGAGTCAAGGGATGTGGGATGAACTTTGAATGGAACCTGTTTGAATTTACCTATCGGGACTGCCAGTCCCTTGCTAAAGCTTTAAAGTCTTGCAAATCTTTGAAGGTATGTTCTGTTCCAAGAACCTTTAATTGCAGAATGTTGTAAATAATAATAAGAAGAAAAGGAAGAAGAAGAATATACTGCCTTTTTGTCACAAAAGGCAATATTTGCTTTTGGAATTTACATGTATGCTTAAAACATTTTTATAATTTAATGATATGTAATTAAAGGAATCCAGATCACGCCATAATGCAGTATATTTACAGGCCACATATACTTTTCTATTGAAACCCAATTTCATCTGCCTTAAGAGCATACCTTAAGAAAAGTTACAATTGAATTGAGGTTGTTGTGCCTATCTACCTTATTTTGTTGCTAGAAATTAATTAATCCAAAATGTAATTATCCCATTATATAATTAATTATCCCAGGCTCATCCAGCCCTTTTCTTGACAAATTCCAGGGTTTGGGCTTCGAAAGCATGGCTAAGTAGCTTGTTTGAGATTCCCAAAATCATTTGTAAGAAAGGTAAATGTAAATATTTATTAGAATACCCTTGTAATACAACTTACCATAGTACCAAGAAGTAGGCAGAGCTGCTGATTTTTCATGGCATGTGAGTATGAAAACAGTGACAAATTAACAAATATAACACATTTGGTGTATGATTGTGACACATGAATTTTCACGTCTTTTTGAAGGTCTTCAGAATACATGAGAGCAAGGTAGATGATGAAAAAGCCCGAGTGCTTATTCACAGCTTACTGGATCACCCCTCCTTGAAGGAGCTGGACCTTTCTCACAACTTAATTGGGGACAGAGGGGCAAGGGCTATAGGCAAACTGATCAATAGAAGCCAGCTGGAAAAGCTCATTGTTTACAACAACAAAATCAGAGGTCCAGGAGCACAGGCAATTGCATATGCACTGTCCAAAAATGCCACCCTGCTGTCTTTAAACCTCAGACTGAATCGCACTGGAGATGAAGGGGGACAGTCCATTGCTCAGGCTCTTCTAAAGAATACCACCCTTGTAAGCTTGCATCTGGGTAGCAATGAGCTGACAGAGCCCACAGCCTCTGTTCTGTCTCAGGTTCTTGTTCAGAATACAACCCTGAGAAGCATCAACCTTTCATGCAACAGACTAGGAGCAGTAAGTAACTCTTTTACTCTTTTAGGTTTTCAGTGCAAGAAATAAACTTGTCAAAAAATTAAAGCATTTTAAGTTTTGGCAAATAGTTATGTTCTAGATAGGTAAACATAGATCAAGGTATCTCAAACAAGTGATAGAAATCATTTGAAAAAAAAAACTCTTTCCAGTGGTCTATCTTAATTATGAAAAATAGGTCATTTTCAGTTCAATAAGAAAAGGTAGATCTGGAATGCAGTGTTTGCCTCCTTGACTCTTTTGACTGTGATGGTTGGAAACATCAGAATCGAATCAGAGAGCCCTTGCTAATTTGTAAGTGGCAGCTGGTTAGGGTGGTCAGACATTTTAAAGACATTTCTGAACACTTTCCTATCTATTATATATATTCAAAATTCTCAGAAATGCCTTAGCATTGGAAGGAACCTGTTAAAATTTAACTTTGCACTTGTTTTCTGCCTACACTGTTTTAAGTAAAAATAGGGTGATATAAAGTGCTGTAACATAGTGCCTGCATAAAACATAATAATCATATTCCAGAATGTTTACAAGAAGTAAATGTCATAAATGTGATACTAGTTGCTAGAAATGTTTTTTTTTTATCATGTCCAATTATAAATGGCTTCATTGTTTTCTTTGATTTCTGTTTTGAAGGATGGGGGCAAACTACTGGAAGAGGGCATGTCTCACAACACTACTGTGGTGGAGTGTGATATACGCCTAACAGAAGTGGGGCAGGAGAGTGAATACTGTATCAGCCAGATCCTTAGAGGCAACCAAGAGAAGGCACGCAAGAGACACCTTCAGGAATCTAGAGCAAATAAATAGATCCTCATATGTACAGTTTTCACATGAGTACTTTGACATTTAGAATGCCTTTGAAAACATTTTGAATATAGTTTATTAAATTAAGTTTTGCATGCATGAAGTACTTCAGCAAAAAGTGTTATTAACAGATCAAGATACTTTTTAAATGTTTATGTTTGATGTTTGTTTTCATTCAAACAAAAATAAAAAAAAACATATCAATGCTTTTCTATAATATAACTGCTATAGATTATTTTTTGACACATTACTGCTACCTTCACTCTGTTGTTGAATCAATAAAGAAATACATTTCCATTGAATACACAAAATGTTTTTATTGGTCAGTTAACTTGTCAGAACTCTTGACACACAGATTTGGTTTGCAATCTTTGTAGTTTTATATGCAACATAAAGGCAACATTGTGATAGTGTGGAAATACATACAGACTTGAATTTTGTAATCTCTCACAGACATTAGAAAAAACATTTGACATCAAGCTTGTGATATACTGCACCTCCAGCTGTATAAATGTGAGTTTACATTTCCTATTTGTTGCAAATATGAATCAGATATCAATGGAACAATTTGGAAAACAATTCATACAGTAGGCAGAGCACAACTTTTTTGTGTACAATTGCCATGATTTTAGCTAAGTGAAATCACTGTGACTATGGGGGGAAAATGTATGATATAAAAGAGCTGTTACTCGAGATAAAAATTCCACAATACCTATATTTTTATGCCTATCTGAAAAGCACCAGTGTATATACAAATGTGTTATATTTTTTTACAGCTGTCATGAGAAATTTGTCCAGTGATCGATCTCATTGTCTCCATAAAGTAATAGAGTCAATTATTTTTGACATTTCATTGATTTTTATTGGGTGACATAATCAGATCATATTTGCTGACATATGAGACATTTTATTACAGGAATGATTCTTATTTTAAGGAATTCAAATACAGCACATCATTTTATTAATAGTGAAGAAAGCAATTTGTTCAGTAATTAATTAAAATTCCACAAAGACTGACCACTATTGGAAACCACAACATTTTAATCCTCATGTGAGGTTTATTGAAAACCTATAGCTGCTCTTTCAAGCCCAAAACAATTCCCAAGAAATATCTTTTCACCCCTCTTAATGATATTTTTGAGAATAAGTTGGCTATTCCTGTCCCTTACATTTTGCATCTAATTTTAAAATACTTGAATATAAAGAGAGCAAGAGGAAAATGTTCAGTTCCATCTTCCATATTGATTAAATATTGTTCTTCTGTTTGGTGCTGTGCTTACTAGTAAGTGTGTGTTTGTGTCTGTGAGTGCTCTGTGATGGACTGTCATTCTGTAAACCGACAGGCTTTGGCCTCAGTGTGACCCTGTAAGGTGAATGTATTAAATATACTATAATTTAAGTTTTATCCAGATCCATACATACTGTATATACTTAGATTTTGCACCATAGCAGCTCAACATGTACCATCGATTATTTGTAACTTACAATTCTACCCATTTAGACAGCCAAATAGACTTTGGTGATTGCTGCCATTGTGATTATATTTTAAATTTAAAAATTTGTTTCGAGTGCAGGAACAGGCGTGGGCTAATTCAAAGCTTTCATGGATCTTCCCATTGCAAACCCACATGGGGCTTCATGGTTGATGGTGGGTTTTTAATTCAGTACAGGGAAAAAAAACTTCCAGTACGCAGCCAAAATGAGTAACGTATTGAAATGTATAATTGTTTGGTAACGAAATTGACTCTTGTTTAATATACTCCTTGTAGTATGATTTTAGACAGAAACCTGCTATGTTGTCAATTTTTTTTTTCTTTCACTTTGAAGCTTCCTTGAAAAATCCATCAGGCATCAGTGACAACCAGGATTACTCAGTATTACTCTGGATCAAAAAGGTTTAGTTGAAAAAGCTGCAACATGTATCTTGTATATACTGTATGAAACTGAAAGAAATGTAGTAAATCTGAATCAGGTTCAATAAAAAAAGACTTCCCAAAAGGTAATCATCCTGTGTTTCTGTAACTGTATAGCGTAACTTTAGATTACACTTTTCATTCTTTGTTGGGTAAATTTACAAATGTTGTTTCATGTAAGCACCTCATAATGGTGAAGAATTGTTCTGAGAAGTAGTTTATCATTTTCAGTATACGGGATTCAGGCAATGCAAATAAAAAAGAGTGCTCTGACATTTTTTATTTCATTATACAGTATTTATACAGTACCTTTTGATGTCTATATGGCTACTAGACCCATTACTTTTTTTTCCGGAACATGTTTCAGTATATATAGTGGTTCAGTTCCAACAAACTGAAAGTTCTACATTTCACATTTTTTAAAATTAGTCGCATGTGACAAACTGATACAAGTTTGTACAATCGAAACTGGTTGACACCTCTTAGTTGTGCATTATTTACAGTAAAAACAGCACCCACCTTTTTTACCTTACCTTTTTCACAGACTGTTTACAATGTATGTACAATTTAAAAAAGAATATCTCAAACATTTAAGTTAGAAAATTCATAGAACATTTCTCCCCCTTAAAGGACATTTAATGTTCAGCTAAATGAGAAATGGTGTAACAGTCATTGTATTACACATGAAGATTGTACTGTATATACTAGATCTTCTAACATTTTTAATATAAGATCTTTAACATTGTCTCCCTCTTTTTGTTCTTTTTTCCACTTAACATCAGACATTAGGCTTTGCAAGGTCATAATAACTGATTTACAGTTTTTGTCTATATGGCATCTTATAAGTAATTTATTTTTAAAGCCACCCTTAAAAAGCTGAAGGGTGGAGTTGTTACAGATTCTACATGTCCAAAGCTTTTCCAATAATTTAATTTTCTAATGTAACTTATAGACAAGAACATGACAGTTATAAGGTAATTAATGCTTCAATGTCTAATTGAAGACATGCTGACACGCTCTTCTGAACTTCAGTCAAAACATGAAATATCATTGGGCATTTTTATAAGTTTTGGTCCACATCAATCAAAACAGTATTTGGAAACAGACACTGTTCAGTGTGTCTTATATAAGATTCAGTTGCTTGGACTAGATAATGCTGCAGAAAATTCTACAATTATTATACAGCTATATTTATACCAGAACAAACCACCACCCCACGCATACAGCATCTGGTGGCATGGGCGTTGTGTGGTTACATCTTTTATCAATGTGATGATATCCAATGGATGTAGTTATAGGATCCAATCACATTTCACTGTTCATTTACAAGACCCAGTCACAACAAAACCTTAGTGAAATAGTGAAATTTGCTATATTACTATAGAAAAAGGCATCATTCATTTGAATTGATGAGCTTTAAATTAATCTTTTCACGTCATCTTAATAGTAATATTAACCCATGCTGGTCTCTACAGAAAATTTGAGAAATGTGTTTCATGGGACAAGGAGGGGAGATGTGGCACTCTACAAATGTCAGCTTTGCACTGCACAGCATAGGAGTAAGAACGCAGTTTCCTCCATGAGAATCCCATATTTTTATTTAACACTCTCTGTGTGTAATAGGTCTTGTGCACACTTGTATGTCCATCTATTGGTTTGTTTGTTTTTTAATTTAGATTCTCTGAGAAGTTGATCGTTGATTTATTCAGCTCATCACCTCAAACCAGAACAGCTTAATATTTAGAATATTATTACAGCAGCTATCAAACCATATAAGCTTTACTAGACCTTACTAGTGCCAAATGTAACAGTACCAAAAAATGTAACAGTACCAAAACAAGTCACATTTACAAAAACACATTTTTCCTCTTGGAAGGAATGAAAGTATACGTTTACTTGGTATAAGTATGTTTAGGTTATATGCTTTGTAAGTTTGGCAAGATGTTCATAAACAACACAAGGATATTTTATTCAGAATTCGGTATAAAATGATTCAGCCTGGGCTTGTAAGCATGAACTAGTGTCTGTTGACCAGAGTCACAGTGAAAGTTCCACAGTCCTTCCAAGAGAAAAAGAAATCCTAAGTACAGTGTTTGTTTTTTGTTGGGGAACAGTCATCTCTTCCAATGTGTTTATGGAAATTTCTATACTCATTGGGGAAGAAAGTGGCCTTATTGGGCACCCAAGATGTTGCTCTATGGGTCTTGCATAGATGAATGTGTTTGGAGAATAACACATATTAAAGGAAGGTAAAGGATTTCGTACCTTGGCCAGTGCATTTTGTTTCAAAATCTCACAAGATTATAAAATGAAACACTACAGATAACACTCCAGTATGTACGTTATTATGTTTTTACCTGTATTTTATAGTAGAAAAATGTGACAATAGGACTGTTGCTCTGCTTGCTGCTTTTCAATGACTGTGTGCTCTAGTTTTACTAAGCATATTAAACTGTGATAGTGGCTTTAGTATTCACCAAAGATAAATCATTAATGATTCTGTTCCATCCTATTCGGTATTCCCACTGAGCATGAGAAAACAGAATTCTTTGAGGAAATCAACAGAGACACGAATATTACCATCTTCTAATTTGAACTGATTTAATGATGTGCACGTATGTAAAACACGATTCTGAGCACTAATTATAAACTATTACATATTTACAAGGGATTTACAAAGGTCTGTCAGCTCCTCAACCAACATAAAATAACTCCTATTTTACAGTTGTTCAATTTGAACAACCCAGCATATCAGCATTCCTTACTATGGAACATACTGTATCTTAATCTAGGTCCCTTCACTGTACACTACAGCAGAGGTAAGCAAAGTGAAGTTTCACGTAAACCCTACATGCACTTTATAGATTTAAAAATAATATGTAAATGTTGACATAAAAATTAAGTCAATTTTTAAGATGTTAATGTACCAGGCAAACAGGGGGGGGGGGAGAAATTTTATTATCTTCATACATATAGGAATTATTTTATTAATTATTGTATAATTTTGTGAAGTTTTGCAAATTGATTTTCCTTCTGTTTCGTTTAAATCTTGTTAGGCAACATTACAATAAAGCAACGTAACTAAGGTCAAGATATGTTTAAACCTTAAATAAAAAAAGATAATGAGACAATTTAGCTGTTTAGTTTTGAAGGCAACATTATGCAATGTTTAAAGAAATGCTGTAACTGTCAATGAATCAATTGCCATCCAACTCTCCCTTTTCCTCATGTCATCTGTTGGGAATTGACATCAGTCTGAAATCCCTATAGCATCTGCTAATTTCAATTTTAATTGTAAGATTTTGAATTTAATTTGTTTATTAAACGGGATGTAAGATACTTTTAGCCATAATCATACAGCATGATCTACACTGTACATCATATCTAGATTATTGCCAATAAGTAAATTAGGTCTTGAGTCTGTGTTTTGACTGCACTGGGTTTTTCTTGGCACATATGGTTACTCTTTTCTTGAAAGTACATAATTATTTCTTGTACAAATGTACTGTTTACAGTTACATACATTATTAATGATACATCTGTAAGGTTTTTATAATCATATCTTCTTTCCTAAGGGAAAACAGTCTGCCTACTGTATGTATGTTTTTGAAAAATGTTGGCAAATAAATTCAGGATTACTTTTTGTTTGTGGTAACATACTAATATTAAATGATTTAGCTGTTCAAATTTAATTTATTGTGATTTGCCCATTACTACAATTGATAAATGTGTTGTACAGTCTATGTAGATGAATTCAAAGGCATTTTTTGACTACACCTTTTGTGATTTGAGGAAAACCACAAAAGAGATGATCATTGACATAAAATCTCAGCTGAAAATGTTTGATGACTGTGATCTTAAAAACAAACTATAATACAATGTTTAGAAAATTAAAGGTGATGAACAACAACACTACAAATTAAAGATACAATAAAACAATAAAAGTACTTGTATATTACCAAGAAGATTTATATTAAAAGTTGTTCAAAAAGGTATGGGAGAAGATGTCTAAATCTGTGCAGAAGCTTCCCACTCATGGAGATATAAATAGTTTCTAGACCGATGGGATTTAGAAGATTTTGTGTAACAGAAGATAAACATATATGAAAATATTTAGCAAATTAGTGCACTTCATTTTCAGAATTCAGTGCAGGCTGGTTCCTATGTGGATGCAGTAACTGCACAAAAACCTTTGATCATGCACCATTAAGTGAAAGTCTTCAGGTAATGTCTCATTATTTGAGCAATGTTAAAAAGGTTGTTTTTCTTTCTTGTATGTGTCTCCTGCATTTTCTATAATCCAACATTAGTGATTAATCATTTTTAATGGGGGGCCAAGGTATTCAAACAATATTGCAATTTAAATGACAGCTTGGAGCTTTGGTTTATTTTCAGACAGCTTGATGTCTGCTCTTATTGTACTGAGAAAAGTGCAATTGTCAAGCTGGATTGTGTAGCATGGAATAAATTCTAAACCATCTGTTAATATACCTACGGAATGCTTATTTTTTTATTTTAAACAGAACAATGGCAATGGATAATACAATGGCATGTTGTATTATCCTTCACTCTTCTAACTCCTTTATCCAATGCAGGGTCGCGGGGGAGACAGAGCCTATTCCCGGCAAGCAATAGGCTCAAGGACTGCCATTCCATAGCGGGGCACACACACTCATCACAGAGTGATTTTTACGCATGGCCATTAACCTCCAAGTGTGTGCTTGGACTATGAGAGGAAACCAAAGCACTCAGAACAAAGGGGAGAACATACAAACTCCACACAGATGGCACCCGAGGATTTGAGCTCAAGGCCCCAGCCCTGGAGGCGGCAACACTTACCACTATGCCACCACACTGACCATGTCATATACATGTTACTTCTATGAGACTATAGAAGTGGCATGCACACTTTTTCTATGGTGTAATTAATTGATCATCAATAAACAACAAAAGACAGTTACAACAGATAACAATGTGGACTGAATGGTTTTCGCAACAATTAATTGCGACAATTAACCATTGCATACTAAATAATTCCTTTTTGCGAGACTGAAAAGAATAATAGACTCATAGAGTACAGTTGCACATGAGACACTTTATATACCAGTGACATTCAATTGGTGTACAATCTCTCATCTCACTATTAACGCTGGAAGACTGTGAAGACATCTCTGCACACAATTGTATGCTAGAGTTTTAATTTATATTCAAGAGGGATAGCAATGAAACCTGCATTTGAGTTCAATGGCAGCTGTTTTACAACAAGAAACAGATCACTTTCTCTAATTTTGGATCCTGGTCATGTTTTTCAATTGACTTCCAACTTTTAACCTGCGCTGGACGTTTGTACTGAAATAGCCTCTAACACTTTAATTCTGTCTTTGAAAACACACAGGCAGGGCAACAGATTTAAAAACAGTCTCACAAGTCTCAATGGCACTCAACGCTATTAGGTCATGTAACATATCACAGGCATTAAAATTGGGGAAAATTACAAACAAAATTGAATTTTCTAGATTTGTCTGTGCTAATTCTATGCCTTTGAAGTGAAAGCATAGAAAGTGATATTTCTTTCATTTCCTGTGTGTGTTTCAGAAAAATGTGCTGTGTATTTTTGTGGCATTGGTTTAAATTGGTGCAGTTGTATGAAATCAAAATGCGGCAACCCTCACAAAAAAGACTCAGGACACTTATTTCTTCTAAAATTATACAATATGATTTCTGTAACACACAATGACAGTCATAATATACATATATACTGTATATTGTTTCTGCTATGCCGCAGTGTGCAGGAACAAATGTGTATAAAGAGCAAAACCATGTTAATTCATATTATCCAGAGTTGATTGTGGTTGTCATTTGTGGACTGTAGACTGACAATAGGCCAAGGCATTACATCTCCTTGGGCAGTTAAAGAGTGAAAGATTAAAAGTAGAAAGTAAGTCACTGTTAGCACCAATCTCTGTTAACATTTTTACTCTAGATAACAATTCTTCCTTATTGCCCTGCTCTGTCTACCCATCAGCAAAGAATATGATAGTTCTAAGACAGCAAGTTTCACAACCAACCAGATCAAGAACTTGTTCTACAATATTGTCCAACTGAAACTCCACATGTATCTGAGAACTTTGGAAACTAATCCATATTGTGTAAACACCGTGAAACTGCATCTTAAATTACAGTTCATTTCAATTTAAATTACAGTTGAGGCAGAATCTCCCAATGAGCCTTATTTTAACACCTCGTTTACACAATGTTGCAAGCTATGCTTTGAAGTGACAGCGTACATTTTTATGATAACAAGATGAGAAGTATTTCAAAAGCATTTTATTCTAAACTCCATTCTATCCTGCAGATTCATTTTCTTCTTCATTACAGTCCAGTTTCTTTATTCCCATATTCACTTTATCTGGAAAAAACAGAATTTGATTGTCCAGAAGGTCTGTTTAGATTAAAGTGAGTGTATCCTAGTTTAACAAGATACACCCACTCAAACCTGAACAGACAATCAGAGAGGCAACTTTAACAAAGGGGAATAAATAATTAAGTCATCATTTTTTCAGAAAAGAGCTTTGAGGTTTTCCAAAGGTTATTGCTATGAATTCCTTGACCGTGTTGCATACCACCCAACATTTCAAATGGCATGACTGGGACAAATGCAGTATATAAAATCAGTGTATCATATAAAATGAATGTATTTTTCTGCTTGTTGTTTATTGTTGTGTAGAATGAAACCCCTTGAAAGTGAATGAATGCAACAGTACAACACATCTTGAAATTAACTGACCACAGCCAAGCCACAGCAGTGACACAAATTCTTCTGAAATTACCAATATACACAATGTTAAATAATTGCCTGAGATAAACACCGAGTTCTGACATTACACAAAGAAAGAAAACACTACTTTCCAGATACACTTTCACACTTGGTTTGAATTGCATTTTTTGCTCACCTGTAGCAACTGTTTCTTCCTTCAGCTGGAAAGATATTGGAAATGTACCGATTCATCCAGGACAGGGACTTTAGGGCATGAAGCAGGTTTGTCCTGCAAAATGGAGAACGTCTAGGAGGTATGATGTTGTAATACACCCCAGTTCATGAAATGAATTGAATTGTGTTTTAAATGGACAGCAGGGAAAAGATTACATTCTTCAATATTGGGACAACTTTGCTTTTCCCAAGAAACTGGACTTATTTTTTCATACCCTACTGTGTAAGATTTCAAGTATTACTAGACAGAAATACATTGGTATCCCATTGACTGCAGGGGTTAATTCTATTGATTTAGACTGAAGACTTTTTTTGGTATGGACTCACTTGTCTGTTATTAATACTTTCTGGACCCCAGACCACTATGGCAGGAAGTCTTCATCAGTCATTTATCTTCCAATAACAAGCAAGGCAAATATTGATGTTATCTTCCAACTTCCTTCATGAATGCATGTGATGTTGTACAATGCCGTCTGTTACATCCTTGGGGAACTTTGTATCCAGGGAAAGTTCTCCACAAATACATTCCTGTGAGTTTTATTGTCTTGTCCAGGTGTACGGCGAAATGTGTAGTCATAAGGAAGTCTCAACGCAGGAGCCGTTTCTGTGCAGGGACCGGTGGTTATGGTTGAGGCAGCCTTCATTCCGATGTACAATCAAGACGGGAAAGTAGAGAGCATCCTGGTAGGGAGGGGGATCTTCTTCATTTGTCATCTGCCCTGACAAGCACCGGGTGTTCTCACTGGGGCAGTTCTGCTCATTAAGGCTCCCACTCCTGCTCCTCCAAAAGCAGCTCCGTCGGGAACCGTACAGTCGTCCCAGGGAGAATCGGCTGGCACTGAAGGGGATCCTGGGGCTGCCATTGCATATGCTGAGTGCGCTCCTGGAGAAGATGGAAGAACTGCTGATGGCCCTGTGGCAGCGCTCGCAGTTTTGCCGGTATGCCCCGTAGTTGCACACAGTGTAAGTGTTGCAGTTGGAGAGCTGGGCCAGATCCATCAACACAGCCTCTGAGTAGCTGGGCACGAGCTGCTGATTGGACCGAATGTGCCACTCCAGCTCCGTGCTGTCAATGGTGTTCACCCGTGGGATGCGCCGACAGTAAGGTCGCTCCTCAGAGGGGGTCACGGGGACATAGTCGAAGCCAAACAGCTTCTCCACGTGGTAGTGGACATAGGCAGTGCGGTATTCGGTCAACACACGCAGAGGCCATGACAGGGTGAAGAGGGCTGCCACCCAGAAGACATAGTGGGAGACATACCATGGAAGATGGTCTGGGTCAGAGAAGGCAATCATGTACTCCTTAAAGTCTACATTCTTGAGATGCATTCCTTCTCTTGCCTCCATGTAGTCATCCAGCCCCTCATTCTCTGTGAAGAATCTGGCCCTCTGGGTCAGGTAGGAGTTTTCAGACTCTACATTGGCAAAGCTAAAGCACTTGGTGAACCTCAACTTGGTGACAGCAAAGCTCTCCAGGCCCAGGAGGTCTTTGGAAATGTCCTTTACCCCGCAGTTGCCATAGTCAAACTCGGCCTCAGCCACGTGGGTGTTGACTCGCTCGTGGTACACCTGAGTGGTGGTGTAAGCGTCACCATTCCGGTACCGTGTGACTTGTCTGGTCCTCCGCACGTAGTGGTAGCTGATGGCCTTCCACCAGATGCACGGGGTGGCTTGCTGCATTCTCTGGATCCGTTCAGAGATGCTCTCCACGTCCACTTTGTACTGCAGTTCGTTCCTGGTGTAGCAGTGCCAACATTCCACCAGGTAGACCACGTACAGCATGACAAGGAAGGCCAGTGGGATGTAGATGTAGCCATTGGAACAGGGGCTGTCGTGGTACATCATGGACTTCCCCTTGTAGGCACTGTCGAAGGTCAGCCGGGTGACTTTGGTCACATGGCACCATGTCATGGCTCCCATGCAGCCATACATGAGCAGGGACAGCAGAAGACATTTCCAATGGGACTCTCTGCACAGTGACTTGCTGAGGGACTGCTTCAGTGGTCGTTGCTGCATGGGGATCAAGATGTGCAAAAAGAATAACATAAAACGCTGCATTAACAGTCACTTCAATGCATCCATTTTAAATAAAACAGATAAGACTATTAACAGTAGTAAGCAGTTCCCTGTTACATTTTCATTTTATGTATTGAAAACTATATAAATAAAAGGTTGGTTTAAAATGATCATATAATGGTGTTCATTTTATGATCATGTCACCAATGTTTATTTATTCTAATTGTAACAGACATTAGAATATTATCATTATTAACAGATACAGTTTATCAGATATCACATTTTTAATTTTAATAGAATCTTCTCTAATCAGATTAATTAAAATTGGACTCTAAAGCTTTAATACTGTACATTACACATATTACTTTGGTAAGAAATGAGAACAAGAACCGCATCCACAAAAATAATATTGCTTATTTTTGTTCTTTAAAAATTATATATAACATTTTTTAGACTATTTAAACAGCTATGGGCAGCACATAAAAGTGACCTCAGCAGCAAAAATATTCATATCAATTAGCACCTAGCAAACAAATGAGCTGGATGTGTCTTTCAGGACCCTATGTGGGCAGCACAATCCGGAAGGGAGTGAACACACAAAAGAGCTAGGAGACGAGGAACTGGGCTGGTAGACGAAACAGGGGGACGTGACGAAGGTGCTCAGGGGGACGTGGTCGAGGCAAACAATCCAAAAGGGAGTCTGAACTCCAGAGCCAAGTGATCCATTCAAGACAAACAAGACAAAGTTAAAAGCCGGAGTGGGATCCGGCGAGGGGACGTAGACAGACATGACAAAGTTAAAAACTGGAACAAGATCTGGCGAAGGGTCGGGGAAAAAAGGGGGAACGGGATCAGGCGCTCCAGGTCCAGGACTCAGCTGGTTCAGGACACCTAGGAGGCGAGTGCCCTCCAAGCCAGGGACATAGGGCGACTCCAGGTGTCCTTGTTCCAGTTCAGAGCCCGGAACAGAGTGAGCGTTGTCTGGCTTTTGTAAGGAGGATGGAACAGGGAGCAGGTTCACAAAATCAACTAAAATGTGAATGAGCCGGAGCGTCCTTAAGGGGGAGGGATTACAATCTTGACAGGATGTCCCAAATAGCCTCCTCTAGTTCCGACCCTTTCTTGTGTTCTAACATACTAACTGTAAGTCTAAGACTCCAAAAATATTGGAAGGTGACACAAAACTGAAATTTAATGTTCCTTGCGCTAAAAAAAGACAATGAAAGCCCACCATGAGTTTTGGAAGTAAATAATAGATATATCATACAATTGCTTTTACTTTTCTGATTCAATTAACACTCATTATACATGATACAGAAAGCATGATTGAATGTCGGAAATATTAACTGTTGCAGGAAAAAAACATGAACTGGACATCCCAAAAGCTGATGAATTTCTGCAGTGTTAAGCACATCTTTAGTTTACATACAAATAACAGTAGCATGTACAGACTGAAGCACCCCGCGTATCTCACTCTGACACCTTCCTAATGAAAGCAGGCGTCTGCCAGACAATCTTTTCCTAATTGCCGACAAAAAGATTTTAATATGTTAGAAATCTAAAAGGCTCATTCTTACTGTCAAGAAAAAAGAAAGAATAATTGCTACCTTGATGTGAGAGAAAAGGCAAGATTCACCTGTTAGCTGAAGCTCAAATGTGGGTTAAAAATGTTTTGAATAGAACCCAAGCACGTACTCTATGATCCCATCTTTTCTAGGCATTGCTGTGAACAAGTATGGATGCACAAGATGACCTCCTTACTTAGCCATGTTCGCTATATTAAATATGAAGAGAGACATTCTGCATTTTAAGTGCTTTTGCATTGTTTCTGCCTGAGCTGAGATGTCCATGTGCATTCCTGTATTTTGTCATAATCAGAAAACAGAAAGTGTGTTGTTTTTATTCCTATCCAAAATAACTCTGGTGTTGCTGGATTGTAGTCATTCCAGAAATGTATCTTATAGATTTAAATCAAGCAGTGGGAGAACTCTCACATCCAAATTATTTTGAATAAGAATGTACTTTTCTTATTGGCTGGAAGGATACGTAATCTATAAAGTTAAGGTAAATGGAAGTGCTTACACAGCAAAATTCACAATTTAGCATTATTTAAAATTGAAAGGTTAAGGTGTGTCATAAATGAAATGACCACAATTATTTTCTGTATGTACTGTACAAGACGACTGTCTCACAAACTTCACTTCACTTATTGTACATGATACAGAAGAAAGAAAAGACTATAACATTAACTTTTCTTAGAAAATTAAGAAAAGTCAGTAACATTAACTTTTGCAGTACTAAATATTAACTGACCATCACGAAAGCCACTGAATGTCTGCATTATGTTTTTAATGAAACATTTAGTTACATAAAAATAACAGTAGCATTGACAGACTGAAGTGACTCCTGTTTCTTTGTCTGGTACAGTACATTCCTTCCTAATGAAAGCAGACATCTGTCAGACAATCTTGTCCTAATTTCTGAAAACAATATTTTAATTTGCTCTTAAAAGATCAGAGAAATGGTTTAATCTAATTACTCCTGTTTCTAAAATTGGTCTCTCTTTAGTTATGCAATTGTAAATGCATATCAAGTCTATTTTTTAGAAAGCAACTCAATCTGACATCTCCACATTGCTTCTGTGCTACACTTTTAACGAGCACAAAAATAGAACGAATTTTACTTGATACTGATTCAACTTGATATTTCCCTTCCAAATGCTTATGGAGTTTTCTAGTAGTAGTGCCTGCTTTTTAGGTTCATCTAAAGGTACATTTTCTTTAATATACTGTTAGCTCAGTCTAACATGCAAAAAAGGCTGTGTTCATCAGATAAATTCATGAATTGGAAAAAAAATAGGATTTATAACATCTAAATGTGAGTAAGAAACAGGAGAAGGCATCCTAAACATGGAGTATACTATGCATTAGGTAGCATGCATCTGTTTAAATTCTTTTTAAGAAAGTCCT